ATCCTCTTTGAAATAGGCTTAATTACCTTGTCGTTCGTTTGCACTGATAAGCGGCTATTCCAGATAAAATGCACGCTGTAAATATATTAAGCAATAAACTGTCATCATCTGGATGCATTGCAATGACGACGACAAGCGACAAAACAACGGACAACTGCTTATCTCCAGGGCATTGTCCATTTCGACAGAACCATGTCACAATACTACTAATCATTGCTTGTGGTTCGGTTGTGATTTCACTGCTCATGACTTATGATTAAACAGTTGTGTAAAAAGATAAATTTAACACCGTAAAAAAAGTATGTGAAATAACTTACTGACGTTTCGGACCTTAATCCTTCGTCGGAGTAAAGAGATGGAACTAGGTATAGTGTGAGTTTATATAGTAAGAGTAACAAAGAGAATAGACCAATAGGTGCAAAGTAGGCATGGTAACGTGAAAAATGTTTAGAAACACCCACGCAGCTCACACTAGTTTACCGGCTAGTTCCCACATTCTTATGATTAAAGACCCGCGTGCATCCACAAGCCTTTACGATTGTTTGTTATGCTTTACCATTTATCTGTTGTTGAAAGCTCCTTTCTGACTACTTCAAATCAAAGATGGCGTTTTTTCGTTTGAGAGATAATCTCGCAAAGGATCTAGGATACACGTGGGCCATTAAAGCACTCTTTTGCAAGTAAAATTCTACTGGAATGCTACTAATGGAATTTTCAGAATTTTTGACCAAGATTGCAGCCTCCATCCATCCCTTCTATCCCTGCAAAACTCCCTCACTATCATTTTCATCAAAACTATTCACCAGACGGCATGCTTTCTTCGTTCAGAATCGCCTAGTGATCTTTTTGCTTTGCCAAAATGTTTCAATACTCCAGTTTCGATATCTTATTTGTGCAGCCTTAACCTCGAAAGCATGAAATATATTCTTTTATTCAGCAGAGATCCTATTGTTATGCAAACACTCTGTTTACAAAGAAGACAATAAACATTTATGCTTGATTAAATCTAAGCTTGCACAAAAGAGAGTGGGTATCCTCAACATATTGTGTGTTGTTATAAATGATCTAAACTTGCTACGAAATACGTTTGCTTAATTACTAGCAGAAATTGTCTAGCCAAAACAAAAACAACAAACAACAAATAAAAGGAAAAATGTCATTAGAACAAGAGGTTTACGTTCGTTCTTGTTGCTAGGCAACCGGAAAGATAAGAGGACAGGGACTGGTTCAAGGTGGTCATAGTGAAGAGGGAACAAGACAGCATGTACAAAGCCTCCCCCTTATTCAAAACAGTGTTTTGTACATTTATTTTATTTTCCAACACGCGTTCACACGTGAATGCCGTTGGATAAATATTACAACAATTCATGAGGTTCACTCAAGACAATTAATCTCATGACATGGTTTGGTTTAATAAGGAAGATACAGTGATAGGCAAAGGAACACCGTTTGTATCTTTTAAATTTTCTTCAAAAGTTCTTCAAAAGGGAAATGAGAGCTTTCTATGTGAACATCAGCTGTGTTTAGAAGCACAACCATATTTGGAAGTCGTTACACAGATGCTTCTCGGCTTTTCTGAGAATTTCATTTCTCGAAGTATTCAAAGAACCAAAAAACTTCTGATTAGTCACTGTTTTTAACTTAGGAACAGTTGATATGCCTCTTAACACTCGTTGTAGACACTCAGAGCCTCTAGTAATCGGGAACCGTACCCTTTTTCAAGAGAAAAAACTTGGTGAAGGTGCCTTTGGAGAAGTTTTTGAGGTAAGAGAGCAAACATCTGGCAATCTCTTCGCTCTAAAGAAAATTGGTGTATCGTTTCTAGACAATGCATATCTTGGAGAAATTGAGACGCTATCAAAGTGTACAAAGCACCAACATATTGTTACCTTGTATGATGTCGGCTTCAAATCGAAATTCTTTGGCCTCTTCACTTCAAATGTCCTTATCCTCATGGAGTACTGCTCTGGTGGAAACCTCAATAGACGATTAGCGAGGTCAGACATCACCGAAGATCTTAAACTACGATGGATGAGCGAGCTGGCAGACGCCATACGTTTCCTTCACTCACAAGACATCGTCCATCGTGATTTAAAACCAGAAAATGTCCTTCTAACGTCGACGGATTCGATCAAGTTGGGAGACTTTGGCCTCGCAAGAGTTTAYACTGCTTTAAGGCAAGATGGCGTTGCTTCAGACCAGGCTTATGTGTCCTACATGACAAATTTGTACATGGATCAAACTGTGGGTACAATTGTTTGGATGGCTCCCGAAGTTTTTGGTGGTCACTATAAGGAAACTGCAGATATTTTCTCTCTCGGTGCAATCTTCTACGCTATCCAGACGCTCAGCTTTGAAATCTCCAAAGGAAAGAAATATTTCGTGGGAATGGTTACTGTTGCAGGTGCAAAATACGGCTTTGGTCAAGCACTCCAGTCGAATCCAAACATAAACCTTCCTTTGAGCAACATCCGTCAGGAGTCAAGAAAAGAGCTGATTCAATCTATGCTCAGTTGCGATCCACACAAACGTCCCAGTGGAAAAGAAGTCTACAAAATCGTCCAACAAATTAAAAACAAGGAAAACAAAGTACGTCAGCCACCACAAGCAAGGGAGAGTCCAACCACGATATTTCCGATTGGGGTTTTCGCTCTCCTCATTGTAATTTGTCTAATTTATACTGAATATTATTTATTGCTATTTAAAGTTATATATATTATTATTAGTAGTATTTTTATTATTATTGTTATTATTATTATCATTTTTAATGTTATTGTTATCATTATTGTTATCGTTTTTCTTCGTGCCTTGGGACAACTACGTGGTACTGAAGTACAATGAAAAGGTTGTCAAGTATGCACCTTTGGCAAAGGAGATAAGGAAGATGCACCGGGTATCAACAAATCATTAGTTGTTGGTTGTCTTGGGGTTGTGTCGAGTTAGGTTTGTGGGATACCTAAAAGTTTTAGGTATATTTTTTTATCAATTCAAGTAGCCAGTTGTAAATTGCCTATACGTAGTGACATTTTCAACTGTATGAATCTATAAACAAATAAAGTTTCCATTATAACACACAACCTAACACGACCGGAGCAGAACTGATTTACTTGCGTAAAGTGCGCGCTACAAACGTGATCGCTCACGTAAAAAAAATGGATGTAACGTAATTTTGACCTTGCCACATAATAGCAAAAATATATTTGAACCTTTCAAAGCAAACAAACGGTGCTACTCTTTGGAATTCTAAATGATAGCAGCCCGAGTCTTCTCCAAATAGGCCGTTTGCATTATGACGTAAACAACTACCAGAGAGCCTTGCCGGCATTTTCATTGTTATTCAGATTTTTAATCCCCTTGGAGATTAATAAAACAATTGGCACTAATTGCATTACAAAAGAAAGTTGGCAAAGCATTCTGGTAGTTGTAGTAAATGACGCCATAATGCATATCGCCTATTGCGGGAAGATAAGTGTATTGTATTATCTACTGTAGACTTATAGAATAGTATGACGACTTATATACATAGTTTGCCAATAAATAGATTTCATGCATGCTGTGAAATAACTTGAAGTGAAGTGTTCTGGTTGTTGTGTTGTTGAGGGAATTTGGGTTACTTCTTCCATAGCCATTCAAGTTTTCTTTTAGGTTTCATCAGGTTTTATTGTTAGTTAATAGACTAGAGCAGAGTCATTTGAACCATGAAATAGAAACTTCTAAATACTTGGTAACACTAAAAAAGCCCTATTTTAATAGACACTATCCTGTGGCTACCTGTGCCGACAAACTTAATGGCTTTTCACATGTAGTCAAAATATCGTTTCTCAACCGTATCTTTTCAGTCTTGAAATATCAAAAAAAAACTTCAATAAAGACGGCTCAATAGTTTATGAACATTTTTGGAACATCTCTACTTGTTTATTGGGATTTTATTTTTATTTCTGTTGAGTTTCAGGCCATTTTAAGCTATTGTGAGTCATTTATCACTATTTTTATCATTCGCGATATGAGCGGGAAAAAGGCAAATAGCGCGCGTTGACGCTAAATTTATAAAGTGGTACAGTTGCACCATCCTATCGCTTATCGCTTATTCGGGGGAGGCGTTTATTAATTATTATGGATCAAAGGGGGCGCTTATTCGGGGGATTCGCTTATTAATTATTATGGATCAAAGGGAACGCTTATTCGGGGGAGGCGCTTATTAATTATTATGGATCAAAGGGGGCGCTTATTCGGGGGAGGCGTTTATTAATTATTATGGATCAAAGGGGGCGCTTATTCGGGGGATGCGCTTATTAATTATTATGGATCAAAGGGGGCGCTTATTCGGGGGAGGCGCTTATTCGAGTAGATTACGGTAGTCTCTTTCATGGTTCCTTGCCCCATCTTGAAAGGTAGCCCAGGTTTTACATCGAAACGAGCCGACCGATGAGCGTGCAATGATAGATTACTGTCATCAATGTGGTTGATAAGGTTTCTATCATTGAGGTCGTCTCTCCTCGATGCAAAGGCACGGTTACCTTACAAAGATACGGTGGAGAAAACAGTGAAGGAGACAATTTCTTGTTTAATCTCACCATCATGTAAATTTAGACGAAGATCGATGAAGCCAGAATAAGACAAATTCAATATCATCGATCGGTTTAATATTTTCCTTTCAGAATACAATATTCTATTATTATAGCTAAAGTATCATATTCAAGTAAATTTTCATATTTTCCAAAACACCAGGCTCCCCATGAATAATCAGAAATGTAAATTACTTTGACCATATTTGGCAAACATGGTAACCTTTTTAAAAAACATTTTTTCTAACAATTTTACTACCTCTTGCGAGTCGAACACTAAAGGAAAATGCTTTTCAAGGTTCAACAAATTCACTGCAAAACTGGAATAATTCATACCAGATGACTGCCGATAATTGTGTACAATGCAGTTTCGTCTTCAGCAACACAACAGTCTACTAATTGATCCTATCTCCTAAACACAAGCAAAATGTCTGACGTTATCTCTCGGTCTCAACATACATGTAATTTCTGGAGAACCTTAAACATTAATTTAGGCTTGGTCCAATGTGAATCCCTAAAACAATTATTATACCTCTCGACCTCGTGGACCACGAAGCCTTTAGCTCGCAGATAACCAGCATATTTAGATGACTATAGAAACGTGAATGTGGAGCGACACCATTTCACTCGATTAAAACATGACAAGCATAAATATTGCCCTCACGCTGTTTGTAAACATTTTGTGTCCAGAAAGTCAAGTACTTTTTCTGAGTATTTAGGGAACAGTAAAGCTACTTTTGGGAATCATTTTTGCGGACATTTGAAAAAAAAAATCGAGTGCAATACTTCCCGTCATGCTTTGCTTCAAGAAATGAC